ACTCACTTGGTAGCCCAGGCTGGCCTCGAACTCACAGAGATCCGCCTGGCTCTGCCTCCCGAGTGCTGGGATTAAAGGCGTGCGCCACCACCGCCCGGCCAGATTCATTTTTTTAATTCTTTTTTACATTTATTTGTATTTTATGTATATTGGTGTTTTGCCCACATGTATATCTGTGTGAGGGTGTTGGATCCCCTGGAACAGGAGTTACAGACAGTTGTGAGCAGCCACGTGGGTGCTGGAAATTGAACTGGAGTCCTCTGGAAGAACAGCAGTGCTCTTAACCACTGAGCCATTTCTCCAGCCCCAACAGATTCATTCTTACTGCACACTGGATGCGCTGAAAAATATGGAGCTTGCTAGGAAGATGGCTCTGTGCAGACACAAGGAACCAGTGTTCAGACCTACAGCACTGTAAATGAGGAAGAGTTTGGATCCCTGGCACTCCTTGGGTGGGAGACACAGCAGCTACCTGTAATTGGGGCACTTGGGAGGTAGACACAGAGTATCTTCCAGCAAGCCAGACTAGTGGGTGAGCTCCAGCTTCAGTGAGAGACGTTGCCTCAGGAAATTAAGTGGAGAGCAACTGAGGAAGACAGTGTTTATTTTGGGCCTCCACATTCACCTGCTCACATCTGTGCACACATACATTCACTTGCATATGTATATGTATATTACTAAGGATGTAGCTTAGTTTGTAGAGTGTTTGCCTAGCATACATGAAAACTCTGGGTTCGATACCTAGTACCGCCTAAAACCTGGTGTGGTACCTTCAAGTTCAAGGTCAAACTCTGTGTAAGAACAGACTGTCAATTTCCAGTTAAAAGTAAGCCCAATCATAAGCATAGAGTGTGGAAACACTCATCTGTCATCCGAGTTCTTGAAGGCTGAGGAGGGAAGACTTAAGAATTAGAGGTCAACCTGATCTAGTATACAAAAAGAAGAAAAAGTGCCTTTTTGCCTTTCCAGAGTTGGTTATGGGGCCTGCAGGAAAAAGATGGAGGTGCCCATTTTGCAGACAAGGACGCTGAGGCCTGGAGAGATTTCTCATGTAGGATCTTTGCCTTCTGCTTTTGCAATTATGCTTACAAACTCTCACCTGCCTAAGAACAGCAGTCTAAGCTCAGTCCCCTCCTCCTAGAGAGGCGCCCAGGATTAGGCCACACCCCAGATCTCGCGAGATCTGAGAAGCGGAAAAAATGGCGCCGACGTGATCGAGAGCTCGCGTCGCCGAGGAAGTCTCCCCTGCTGCAGCCGGAGCCATCGAAGGCACGGGAACCAGAGGTCGAACTGAGTGGAGGATGGTGAGCGCGGCACCCGGCACGCGGGCGCGGAGAAGCAGTGGGTATTGACAGGGAGCGGTCCTGCGGCGCGCACCCCCTCCAGCCGACCCCGCCCCCACATCCGGGTTCCCTCCCGCCGCTGACTGTCACTTAGCGAGCGGTCTGCCCCTTCATTTAAATGAGGCCTGGCTTTGCTTGAGCCACGCCCACTCTGCTCGAGTTCAGCCCCTAAACTTCACACATCCTGGCCCCGAGCATCTCCGAGATCGTCTGTCTGCACAGCTCTAGTTCGGCCGGCATTCCCCATCATCACACAATCCACTCTAGGCCTTGTGGCATTTTCCAAGTTGCTCCCAGGCCGGACCCTCGCCCTCTCCCCTAGGCCACGCCTTCACCCTGTGGTGCCTCTCTCCTCCCAAAGGTAAAGAATAAGGGATGCTGATGCTGATGCTCTTTTATGCATAATCCCTGATATATACCTCCTTCTGCAGTTGGAATTAGGAGACAGCTCAGTCTGCCCTTATCTCCCTTAAGGCATCTTTCTGGTGACTCAGAAAGTGAAATGGTTGGGTAATATCTGGTGGGAGTGGGAGGGAGTTAGAAACCCTGAGTCTTGTGGACCTTTGAAGTGGAAAGACTTCCCTCTGTCCTAGGCACACTCTGATCCCAGCCTTATTCTAGCCACTTATTGCACCAGGAGGAACCGTCCAAGCCCAGTCCGGACATGCTAGCCACTGCAGAGTCCAGCTCCAGTGAGACTGACAAGGAGGTGGTGTCTCCAGATGTGACAGCTACAGCCACTTTCTCTTCTGTGGGGGAGTCAGGTCCTAACCCCACAGCCATACCACCAGTGTGGGACCGTGGAGGACCTCCGCAGCAGGTTGCTTCCCCAGCCGTAGACAGCTGCCAGCCTGGCTCAGCCAGCACAGGTGTGGGGACCAATGAGGACCTGAGGTTGCCCAGACGACGTCCTCCACCAGGTGATCTGTGATGGGGACTTCATAGGTCCTTTGATAGGACTGAGATGGTGCAGTCTAGGGGAATTCCTCACCATTTACTGAGCATCAAGTCTATGTCAGGTGTAGCAACCAAACCTATCCAGCCTTTCCAGGCAATTTATTCTAGCAGTGGGGAGGAGCTAGTTCACGGCTTTGGGAATGGGGAGAAGGTCTGTAAGGAAAAATTGATGATACCCATTTATCCTGTAGGGAAACAGATACCCTGCTCTAGCCCTGGCTGCTGCCTCAGTTTCCCCAGCATTCGTGATCTGGCACAGCATCTCCGTACCCACTGCCCACCCACACAGTCACTGGAAGGTAGGATGAAGGCTGGTGATAGTGAGGAAGATAGGGTGGAAGACAGCCCCCAGGGTCAGTCTTAACCATCCCACTCCACACCTGCCCTTCATCCCTACCAGGCAAACTCTTCCGATGCTCAGCCCTGAGCTGCACTGAGAGTTTCCCCAGCATGCAGGAGCTGGTAGCCCACGGCAAGCTGCATTACAAGCCCAACCGCTACTTCAAGTGAGGCCCTGACCTTCCTTCCCCTCTATTGATTCCAGATCTTTAGCCCCTTCCTAGTGTGTGTGTGGAGGAGGGGTGGGTTCGGAACATAAGCATGGCCTGGGAAACCAGCCCCAGCAGTGCATGGAAGGCCGATGTGAATAGGAGTAAGTCACTCTGGCTGAAGGCTCAGCTGAAGCAGCAGGGTATACATGCTGTGGTTCTGTCTCACTTTTTACTGGTAAACTGGGCACCCAAGTAAAATTGAAGCCTGAGGCTCCGAGCTGGAGAGGTAGGGAAGGATCAAGACTTCAGTAAGGGAGAGTGTGTAGGGCAAGCTCCTTCATTTGAGCACAGAGTTACAGAGATTTCAACCTAGATACCCTTCTCATATCCTGATCCCTGGGGAGCAATGGATAGGCCCCTTCCTGTTGCCCAGGACATAGTCCAGCCCTGTGCCTACCTCCAGGTGTGAGAATTGCCTCCTGCGCTTCCGCACTCACCGATCGCTCTTCAAGCATCTTCATGTTTGTGCAGAGCATGCTCAGAGCCCAGCCCCGCCACCACCCCCTGCCCTGGACAAAGAGCCACCTGTGCCCGAGCGCCCCCCAGAATCCGACCCTTCGTCTACTCTGAGCCTGCCATTCCCACTACTTGAGCCTTTCACCTCTGCCCCCACTGGGCCATTCCTTCCCTACTTGAATCCTGCGCCCTTTGGCCTGAGTCCCCCGAGACTGCGCCCATTCCTGGCTGCTGCTCCAGGACCACCAGCCTCCAGCACTGCCATCTGGAAAAAGAGTCAAGGTGAGTATGGGAGCCAGTTGCCTGCAAAGCTGGTTGGGCCTATCCCTCTTCTGAACTTGACCTATCTTTTTCCTGAAGGTGCTGCTGGAAGTCCCAGAAGACCTCAGGGTGGCTCTGATGCGCCCTCAGGTGGGTGCAGGTGACCACCAAGGCAGGGTGGAGGGGCCTTCATTCCTATGTCCTGCATGGGCCCTGTGAATGCTTGGAAGCAGCAGTGCCTGTCCTTTAAAATACATGATTTTTACCTTTAAAAAGACTGGCACCTATGCCTTCATCTGCGCCGGCCTTCCTGTGTAAAACTTGCGCCTTTTCCATATCTGAGTGGTCCTTTATGTGGAGGTCCAGGGATGGGAGTCAGACTGCCTTCAGTGATTGGCAGTCAAACCCAGGAGAAAGGATCCAACCTCCCTGGACCCTGGAAGCTGAGGGGGATGGACATAGGGAAAAGTCTCATCTGCACTGGTCAACATCCACCATCCCTGGTGGAAAGGTCCTCTGGGGTGAAACCCCGGACTAACCGTGGCCTGCCTGCCTGCCTGCCTGCCTGCAGGGTACGTGGCCCCCAGCCGCATCGTGTGGGAACACACGCGTGGCCGCTACTCGTGCATGCAGTGTGACTTCTCCACGGCCTCACGGCCCGCCATGACACTACACCTCCAGGACCACCGCCCCGGCGCCCCCACAGCCCCGGCGCCTGGGTCCCTTCATGCCAAAACCCAGGCGAGTAAGGCTGAGGAATGCTCAGGCATGGAGCTAGAGGCAAGGGGTGAGGCCCAAGCTCAGCTGCCCCCTCCTCAACTCCACAAAAACCCAACCTCATTTGCTCCTGGGGTGTCACAACTGTCAGAGGGGGAGCGTCCCATTTTCTCACAGCTTTGAACCAGCTGTGTTGGGCTGGGTGGAAGGGCCTGCAGAGATTATTTTGTAATCTGAGGAGGGAGGGGACAATAAAAGAGGCAAGATGAGCCAGCCTGAGCTGTGTCTTGGGTCCCTTGCCCCTCAGATAAGGTTTTACTTTTATGTTTTTATTTTATGTGTGTATGTGTGCGTACACGTGTGTATACACATGAATGCAATGCCCATGGAGGTCAGAAAAGGGTATGAGATTCCCAGTCTCTTATGAGCTGCCAACCTGAGTGCTGGGAACCAAACATGAGTCTCCTGCAAGAACAGAATGAAGGTGAGCTCTTAACGACTGAGCCCTCTTCTGCCCTCCCCTCAAATAAGCAGTAGGCTGCCACCTACTGGGTCTAGGGTGCTCACACACCATGGGAGGGGGACTTAGAATTAGCTTCACAGGACCTGACCCCCTCAGCACTCCTGTCAATGTCTACCTGGCACTTCAGCCCTGGAATCCAGGTCTCCACCTCAGTGCCACCCTAGTCAGCTATAGGTAGGGACAGCCAGTGCCCACCATTCTGTTCCACAACTTCCAGAAACCAGATAGGATAGAATTTTTCAGGTGCTTTTCCTTTACTGAAAAACAAAAAACAGGCAGAGGCAGGTAGATCTCTGTGAGTTTGAGGCCAGCCTAATCTACAGAGCCAGGGCTGCACAGAAACTCTGTCTCGAAAAATAGTAACAAAAAGTGGGACCAGTAAGATGGCTCATCATGTTCAGGTGCTTGCCCATGCAACCCTGATGACCTGAGTTTGATCCAGAACCCTCAGTGGGGTGGGAAAGAAAATCATCTCTCTATAGTTGTCCTCCTAAAGCATAGTGGCACACACCTTTAATCCTAGCATTTGGCAGGCAGAGGCAGGTAGATCTCTTTAAATTCAAGGCTTGATCTAAGGGGCAAGTTCTGGCCAGGCTGTACAGTAAAACAGTCAGGAAAAAAGCTCCAAGGCATGGTGGTACATCCGAGTACTTGGGAAGCAGACCTGCAAGGATCACTTAACTTCAAGGCCAACTACATAAGCAAGACCGTCTCAAAAATTTTCTTTCAGGGTGGGGAGCGGGGGAATTTTTCAAGACAGGGTTTCTCTGTGCCTGTCCAGGATCTTGCTCTGTAGACCATACTGGCCTTGAACTCACAGAGATCTGCCTGTTTCTGCCTCACTAGTTCTTGGTTTTAAGGGCGTGTGCCACCCCCACCCCTGGCTTAAAGAGCCTTTTTTTTTTTTGGTTTGTTTTTTTTTTTTTCGTGACAGGGTTTCTCTGTGTAGCTTTGCACCTTTCCTGGAACTCACTCTGTAACCAAGGCTAAGCCTTGAACTCGCAGAGATCCACCCGCCTCTGCTTCCCGAGTGCTGGGATCAAAGGCGTGCGCCACCGTCACCTGGCTTGTTTTCTTTTTTAAGCATCAAGAATTATGAAGGCGCTGGGCAGTGGTCGTGCACTGCCTTTGATCCCAGCACTCGGGAGGCAGCCTTGGCTACAGAGTGAGTTCCAGGAAAAGCACAAAGCTACACAGAGAAACCCTGTCTTGAAAAAAAAGAGGAAGGCAGTGTGGGAAGCTAGATCTAAGTAAGCTCTGAGCTATCGTGGATAGAGCCCCGATTCTGAGGACAAAGGGTTCACAGGGAAAGGAACGCCTTCGTGGCTGTAGTTGAGGGGTGGGCAGGACAGGATGGAGAACTAAACTTGATCCTCATCCGTTCAGTTTGCAGATCCTCTTCTGCTGCTGGCTTCTGCCCCAGCCCCAGATCTGGAGAATTTGAGGTCCCTGTTTGACAATGTACCAAGGATGGGGATGTAGCTCAGTACAGTGCTTGCCTAGCATGCACAAAGCCCTGGGTTCTATCCCCAGCACCAGATAAACCAGGAGTGCTGATGCAGGCATGCATTTCCAGAACTGGGCAGGAGTGGAGAGTCGGGTCTGGAGGATCAGAAATACAGGGTCATCCCAGCTACATATGGAATACATAATGCGCACACACACACAAAGAGAAAATGTGGTGCCTTGCTTCTGTTCCAGCCCAGAGCCAGAAAGGCCATGCCTCTTGGATATAGAATTCTGTCCAGTTCTTTGTTCAGCCATCACTGGGAGGATATTACCTGTCTAGCTCAGGCATCTTCTACTGCAGTCGGAGCATCCATAGAAGCAGTCTTTCACCAGTGCTCCTCACTGGCCCCTACTACTGTCTGGATAATACTCCTGTTCTTAGGGTGGAGAGATGTTATACTAGGTAGAAGCAAGATCCCAGTTCAGATTCCTAGCACCCATTTTAAAACTGGGCATGGTGGCATGTGTCTGTAACCCGGCACTACAGAGACTTAGTGGACAGCTAGTCTAGCTGAAACAGTTAACAGTGAGTTCCATTGAAAGACCTTGTCTCAAAAGAAAGTGAAGTGACTGAGGAAGGCATCCTATGTTAACTATCCTGTCTGGACTCCACATGTGTGGGCTTGATTATGTGTACCCCACCTCCCCCCCCCACACACAATACACATGAACACAGATTCTAGTTTTAGTAGCCCATGGGGCTTCTCAAGCCTCCCCATCTTCTATGGTGGTACTCTTTATAGCTGCCGCTTCTGGGAAACAATCTGGAAAAGAAAAACCCACCCCACTCTGTCCCACTCAGCACTCCCTTGTATCCTAACTCTAAATCAGAATTATCCTTTATCACCTCTTTGTCCTGGTATCTGTAGCCAAGATACCACTCACCTGCTAAGCTGGGTTCCTCTAGGCCCTACATCCCTGTCACAGCCCTCCTGTCTTCTCTTCACCAAATTTCACAGTTTGTAGGATCTAGAGAATGAAGTACAACAGCCATACTTTTGGTTTTGAATGAGTGAGTTTATTAAACCAAAGTAAAAGAATAAATAGCAAGTGATTAATGGGAAGTGGAAGGGGGGTAAGAGACAGGGACCCAGGACCTCCTGGCTAGCTAGGTTAGCCAAAAGAGTGAGCTTCAGGTTCTGTGAGAGACTTTGTCTCAAAAACTAACTTGGAGAATAGAGGAAGACACCAGTGGCAACCTTTAGTCTCTGCAAACACGCACACATACGCACACAAGGCAAGGCCAGGCCTTCTCTGGGGGGCCTTCCAGCCTGTCTTCACTTAGGGTCAGAAGATTGGAGGACAGAGAGGGCAGAACCTTGTAAGCCTATCTGACATGGAGGGATTCAGAAGCACCTCTAGGGAGGAAGCAATTCTTGCCTAAAGTCAGACATGCCTTTGTTGAAGCCCCAGTCAGCGAGTGAGTTGAGGCAACAGCTCTAGATGACCACAGGGATAGATAAGGATTAGCAGAGCATACTTGGGTGACGACTGGCTGGGGACCAGGCTGGGGCAGCAGGTGCATGACCCACTTAGTCACCCCACAGGAAGCCTCTGGTCTCATCCCAGGTGCTGACCTGGGGTGAGGGGATATCATTTCCTAGAGGGCCTTCTCACACTTTGGGGAGACTAGGAGATTTGGAAAATGTCTGCTCAGTGATTCCCATCCCAGGAACTGAGTATTGGGGATCAGATACCAGGGAGCTACAATTTCCACTGCATCCAATTCACTGCCCAAACCACCTGCCTATCCTCCCTGATTTATACATGCCCAACCTTTGCTTTTCTGGAAAGCTTGCTGAACTGCCCTCACCCCACCACCTGCTCCTTTTGAACTCCCATAATCCCCAAACTCAAGCTGGGATCCTACAGAGTATTCTGCCCTCA